AGCAATACATGAGGGCTCTAATTATTTCACATCCTTGCCAACATTTATTTTTCTTTTTGCAAAAATTACAGCCATCCTACTGGGTGTTAAGTGGAATCTCACTGTGGCTTTGATTTTGCACATCATTGATGACTCATGGTGTTGAGCATCTTTTCATGTATTTTTTTGCTGTTGAGTTGTATAAGTTCTTTATATATTATGGATACTATGTCATTATCAAACGTATGATTTGTTGATGTGTTCTCCTATTCTTTGGGTTGTCTTTTCACTTTCTTGATATGATGCACAAAAGTTTTTAACTTTGATGAAGTCACATGTGTCAATTTTTTCTTTTGTTGCTTGAACTTTTACTTTACTACCAAGGAATCCTTTGTCAAATCCAAGGTCTTGTAGATTTACCTCTATGTTTTCTTCCAAGAGTTTTATGGCTTTTACTCTTTTTTTTTTTTTTTTTTTTTGAGATGGAGTCTTGCTCTGTCACCCAGGCTGGAGTGCAGTGGCGCAATCTGGGCTCACTGCAACCTCCACCTCCCAGGTTCAAGCGATTCTCCTGCCTCAGCCTCCCAAGTAGCTGAGATTGCAGGCGCTGCCACTCGGCTAATGTTTTTATTTTTAGTAGAGATGGGGTTTCACCATATTGGACAAGCTGGTCTTGAACTCCTGACCTCATGATACACCCGCCTCGGACCCCCAAAGTGCTAGGATTACAGGTGTGAGCCACCACGCCCGGCCTGGCTTTCACTCTTATATGTAGGTCTTTATCCATTTTGAGTTAATTTTTATATATGGTGTGAGATAAGGGTCCACATTCATTCTTTTTGAAAAAACTTTTTTTGATAAAGATGGTGGTCTTACCATGTTGCCCAGGTTGTTCTCAAATTCCTGGACTCAAGCAATCCTCCCATCTCAGCCTCCTAAAGTGCTAAGCTTACAGGCATGAGCCACCTCACCCGGCCCAACTTCATTTTTTTTTTTTTTTTTTTTTTGAGAGAGGGTCTCACTCTGTCACCCAGACTGGAGTGCAGTGGCACGATCTTGGCTCACCACAACCTCTGCCTCTCAGGCTCTAAGCAGTTCTCCCGGCTCAGCCTCCCAAGTAGCTGGGATTACAGGCATGCACCACCATGCCCAGCTAATTTTTGTATTTTTAGTAGAAACAGGGTTTCACCATGTTGGCCGAACTGTCTAGAACTCCTGACCTCTAATGATCCACCCGCCTCGGCCTCCCAAAGTGCTGGGATTACAGGTGTGCACCACTGCACCCAGCTTCAACTTCATTCTTTTGCATGTGAATATACAGTTACCAGAGCACCATTTGTTGAAAAGACTATTTTTTCCCCATTGAATAGTCTTGGTGCCCTTGTCAAAAATCAATTGACCACAGATATATAGTTTATTTCTGGACTGTCAATTCTGTTTCATTGATCTGTATGTCTATGCTTGTGCCAGTACCACACTGTATTAGTCTATTCTCACGCTGGTAATAAAGACATACCTGTGACTGGGTAATTTATAAAGGAAAGAGGTTTAATACACTCACAATTCCACGTGGCTGGGGAGGCCTCACAATCATGGCAGAAGGCAAAGGAAGAACAACAGCACATCTTACATGGCAGCAGGCAAGAGAGCGTGTGCAGGGACTCCCTTCCTCCCTTCCTCCCTTCCTCCCTTCCTCCCTTCCTTCCTTCCATCTCTCTCTGTCACTCAGGCTGGAGCACAATGCTGCAATCAAGGCTCACTGCATCCTTGAACTCCTGGGCTCAAGTGATCCTCCCACCTCAGTATCCCAAGTAGTTGGCACTACGGACGTGTCCTACTATGACTGGTTAATTTTTAAACTTTTTTTGTAGAGACAGGGTCTAATTTATAGCCCAGACTGATCATGAACTCCTAGACTTAGCACTTCTCCTGCCTCAACTTCCTAAAGTGCTGGGATTACATGTATGAGCCATTGTGCTCAGCCTAGGATTGGTTTCTTATGAGACCTATCACCTTGGCTTGTAGACAGCCATCTTCTTCCTATATCTTCACTTCTGTGCATGTCTGTGTCTAGATATTTTTCTTCTTATAAGGACACATGTCATATTAGATTAGGGCCCACCTTAATGATCTTATTTTAACTTAATGACTTCTTTAGAGGCACTGTCTCCAAATGCAGTCACATTCTGAGGTACTGAGGGTTAAGACTTCAACATATAGATTTTGGGGGCTGGCCAGGCACAGTGGCTTATGCCTGTAATTCCAGCACTTTGGGAGGCTGAGGCAGGTGGATCACTTGAGGTCAGGAGTTCAAGACCAGCCTGGCCAACATGGTGAAAGCCTGTCTCTACTAAAAATACAAAAATTAATCAGGTGTGTTGACACATGGGTATAGTCCCAGATACTCAGGGGGCTGAGGCAGAAGAATTGTTGGGACCCAAGAGGTGGAGGTTGCAGTGAGACGAGATGTGCCACTGCACTCCAGCCTGGGTGACAAAGCAAGCATCTCAAAACAACAACAACAACAACAAAAGAAAGTAGGGTGTTGGCTATGCACATTGACTCATGCTTGTAATCCCAGTACTTTCAGAGGCCAAGGCAGGTGGACTGCTTGAGCCTAGGAGTTGGAGACCATTCTGGGCAACATGGCAAAACCCATCTCTACAAAAAACATACACACAAAAATTAGTCAGGCATGGTAGTATGCACCTGTAGTCCCAGCTACTTGGGAGACTGAGATGGGAGGATCACTTGAGCCTAGAAGGCAGAGGTTTCCGTGGGCCAAGATCCTCCAGCCTGGGCAACAGTGACTCTGACAGGAAAGAAAAGAAAAGAAAAGAAAAGAAAGGAAAAGAAGAGAAAATGGTGGCCAGGAGCGGGTGGCTCACACCTGTAATCCAAGCACTTTGGGAGGCCAAGGCAGGCAGATCACAAGGTCAAGAGATCGAGACCATCCTGGTTAAGATGGTGAAACCCATCTCCACTACAAAACAAAAATGTATCCAGGCATGGTGACAGGCGTCTGTAGTCCCAGTTACTCGGGAGGCTGAGGCAGGAGAATGGCGTGAACCCAGGAGGTAGAGCTTGCATTGAGCCGAGATCCTGCCACTACACTCCAGCCTGGGTGACAGAGCAAGACTCTGTCTCAAAAAAAAAAAAAAAAAAAAAAAAGAAGAAGAGAAAATGGAGTGTTAGTCTCCAACTCTTATTGTTGGACTAATGTTTCTCGCTTCAATTCTGTTACTTTCTGCTCATATGTGTTGGAGCTTTGTTGTTATGTGCATGGATGTTTATAATTGTTATATGTTTTTAATGCATTGAGCATTTTAGTATTATATAATGTCTTGTTTCTTATAACAATTTTTGTCTTAAAGTCTATTTTGTCTGATATGTGTATAGCCAGGTCAGCTCTCATTTAGTTACTGTTTACATAAAATATCATCTTTTTTTGTACTTTTAACCTATCTTATTTTTTGACTGTAAAGTGAATATCTTATACATAGCATATAGTTAGATCCTAGTTTTAAAAAAAAATCCATTCTGTCAGTCTCTGCCTTTTACTTGGAGAATTTAATTCATTTAGATTTAATATAATTATTTATGCAGAAGTATTTACTTCTGTTATTTTTCTATTTGTTTTCTAAATATCCCTTTTTTAACACTCAAAATTGATTTATTTAAAGGTTTCACAATAGCTATGTCCAGACATTTAGGCTTAGGGGAAGTAAAATTAAAAGAGGATACTTTTTTTCCCAAGGAGAATTTCTTTAAAACCAAACACACTGCTAAATAGCAACATTATACTTGGTAAACAATAACTGGCAACAAAATAAGTTCTCCCCAAACCAGTCCCAGATACTGTTTAATAACCAAGATACAAACTAATTTTGTTGTAAGAAGCCTAGACCAATTTTATCAAACATGTCCTTGGTTAGATATCCAGTTTCATTTAACGTTTTGAAAGTTCATTTGACAGTCCGTCAAGTCCCTCATACAGACCAGTTCCTTGTGTTGCACAAGTGGCTTGAACATACCATGTTCGGTTACGAAGAGACTGAAGACCTAGTTTATCTATTATTTTGCTGATGGCCATAGCATTTGGCAAATCCTGTTCGTTTGCAAAAAGCAGCAGCACTGCATCTCTCAGGTCATCTACCAGAAGCATTTTCTGCAGCTCATCTGCTACTTTCTGAATTCTTCCACGATCATTACTATCTACCACAAAAGTAAGACCCTGGGTATTCTGGAAGTGATGCTTCCAGAGAGGTCTAATTCTATCTTGACCACCAACATCCCATACTGTGAACAAATGTTCTTATACTCTACTGTTTCCACATTAAAACCAGTGGTAGGAGGCCGGGCGTAGTGGCTCACGCCTGTAATCCCAGCACTTTGGGAGGCCGAGGCGGGGGAATCACTTGAGGTCAGAAGTTTGAGACCATCCTGGCCAACATGGTGAAACTCCGTCTCTACTAAAAATATAAAAATTAGCCCAGTGTGGTGGCAGACGCCTGTAATCCCCAGCTGCTGGGGAGGCTGAGGCAGGACAATCACTTGAACCCGGGAAGCGGAGGTTGCAATGAGCCACGATTGTGCCACTGCACTCCAGCCTGGGCCACTGACGAAGCGAGATTCCATCTCAAAAACAAAAAACAAACAAACAAAAAACAGTAGTAGGAATGGTGATGACTATCTCTCCTAACTTCAGTTTATACAGAATGGTCATCTTACCAGCAACATCCAATCCAAACAGCAAAATGTGCATTTACTTCTTGCCAAAGAAGCAGGAGAAGAGGGAGGAGATGGTGAGGCCCATGGTGGTAGTGCCACTTGCAATGAGCAGAGGCAGAAGGAGTTTGGGGCAGCCCCCTGCTTTCTCCTTACGCGCTTGCAGGCAAACTGGACAAGAGAGAAGAGAAAGAGTGGAGGAAGAAAGAGGGAGGCAGGAACCTCTCACTGGCCGCTGTGCCAATGAAGCTCTGGGACAGGAATTCTCAGGGAGAGGACCTTCTGGGTGACTGGCAAGGCAGCTCCAGCTCTAACCTTTAGGCTTCGACTGCACCACGTCACGCGGTGACCACAGCGACTCCCAAATACCTTAACTTTTTTTATACCCCTGTTCGTCCACTGTCTTTTTTTTTTTTTTTTCTAGACAGAGGGTCTCACTCTGTCGCCCAGGCAGGAGTGCAGTGGCATGAT